CCAAAGTCAGGTTAGTCGAGGAGTCACTGGCGGAGGTAAGTTCCCCACTCATAATAATAATACAACACTGTTGATTCACGCGCTGCGCGTAACCGTTCTGACACAAACCCGAATCCTACCTTTTCAAATACCGTCGCCTTGCCTACAAATTCGAAGTTGACATGCAGCGCAAAATCCGTAGTAAGACCATGTGATGTGGCAGCGGTAGGTCAGGCGTCCGCGTCTAACGTAGATAACAATAACGACATCCGTAAACGTACCCGAGCGAAGTGTTCGTTTTGCAAATTTTTCGGACATACGGTTGATGACTGTCGCAAAAAGAATGATAAGACTGATTCTTCTAATAATAACACAGCTCAGTTACGTTGCTACGGATGCGGTCAGTTAGGAGTAGTGCGTTCGAAATGCGGAAAATGTAGAAGTACGTCTACCTCGAATAAAGCCGACATCTGTAGTGCTTACACCGTAGACGTAAGCGATGATGAGTCACGACCGTTCATAGATATTGAGGTCGTCAACCGTAAGGGTGTAGCCATACTCGACACAGGTGCCACACATTCCATTGCGAGCCCTATGCTGCACGCTTTACTTACGGATGCTGGCATGAAATTTAAGAATGTAGTACGAACCATAGGTCTTGCTGACGGATCTCAGCAGGAGTACACTGCGCTAGAATGTGACGTCAATGTCATATTAAGAAAACGCGTGATACCAACCGCGTTTATGGTACTACCCAATGCGCGAACGAGAACGCTGTTAGGTAGGGGTTTTATTATGAAGGCGAATATCCTGCTGGATTTACCACAGTGCAGCTGGCGCTTCAACGACGAGTCCAGATGGCACCCGTTTGCCGCCAGTCCCACCTTGCCTATCGCCAGTATGGAGCTGATGAAGGCCGAAACTTCAGAGTTCCGGTTGAGAGAGGACGAGGGTACCACGTTGACGGCTGACCAGAAGGCGCAGTTGAACGCCTTTCTGATGGACAGAGCCGACCGCTTTGCGAGGGAAGGACCCCCGACTGAATACATCAGTCACCGATTAAAGATTGACGCACAGCAGGAACCTATCGCTTCACCACCTTATCGGTTGTCACCTGGCAAAAAGGTCATGTTAGAACAGGAGTTACAGAAATTACTGGATGCCGACGTGATCGAAGAGTGCGATTCTCCGTGGGCCGCCAACGTCGTACTCGTCACGAAGAAAGACGGAGGAGTGAGACTCTGCATCGATTACAGGAAACTCAACGCCGCCACCGCTCCCGACCGATACCCACTACCGCGTATCGAAGACGTTCTACACGCGGCCAAGAATACCAGTTACATGACGACTTGCGACCTCCGCTCCGGATATTTCCAAGTTAGTGTAGAACCTGACGACCGGGATAAAACCGCGTTTGTAAGCCCGCTGGGTTGTTTTAGATTTAAGAGGATGCCTATGGGTTTGAGGAACTCCGGAGCGACCTTTCAGCGCCTAATGGATCGTTTCAAGTCCGGGAAGACATTGGCCGATGTTACCCTGTTTGCCTATTTGGATGATATCATTGTTCTGTCGGAATCATTCCCGAAGCACCTGGAGGATCTAAACGCTGTGTTCGATAGACTCGAGATGTATAAATTGCGGGTTAATCGCGAAAAGAGTTGTTTCGCCTGCAAGTCTGTCAAGTTTCTAGGACATGTGATTGTACCGGGTGGCGTTAAGGCAGACCCGGATAAAACAGCAGCTATTGACAAGATGGCTGCCCCGAAGAATGATAAACAATTGAAGACCTTTCTGCAAACCGCCAGCTGGTTCCGGCGTTTTATACCAAATTTCGCCGATGTTGCCAGACCTTTGACGGACCTCCTCAAGAAGAACAGCAATTGGCAATGGACGTCGAAGCAGCAAGATTCCTTCGATCGACTCAAACAATTGCTTGTATCTGCTCCAATATTACGTCAAGCCGACGAGACACTGCCGTTCACGCTGAGGACGGATAGTAGTGGTTATTGCGTCGGAGCAGTTTTGATGCAGGGGGAGGGTCCGGAGGAACGACCCGTAGAGTATGCGAGCCGTTTACTGAACAGTGCAGAGAAGAATTATAATACAACTGAGAGAGAAGCCCTAGCAGTGGTTTGGGCTGTTACTAAGTTTCGCGGGTACATCGAGGGATCAGAAGTTGTGATTAAGAGCGATCATCAACCCCTGCGATGGCTTATGACTGTGAAGTCGCCTAGTGGCCGCTTGGCAAGGTGGGCTTTAACGCTCCAAGAATATAACCTCAAAATAGAGTATACGCCAGGCAAGTCGAATGTGATAGCCGATACACTGTCACGTCCACCCGGTGTAGACGAGGTGGATTGCGATATGAATTTCGCCGAGGTAGATTTTCCGTCGAGAAGCTCAGCAGATGTACGTGAAAACCAACTCAGGGACTCCGAACTGCGCAAAGTCATCGAAGACCTGGAGTCAGAGGACGATCCGTTCAGGGGGAGGAGTTGGTCCGACCGCGGCTACACTATGTCCGACGGAATATTATACAGGTATGGCCCCGAGGAAGGCGAGGAAGAGACGGCATGCCTGGTGGTTCCCGAGCACGAACGTGAGAAGATCCTAGAGGATTATCACAACGCAGCGACGGCAGGTCATTTTGGGGTCGACCGCACTTTGGATCGAATAAGGTCGAAATATTACTGGCCGGGGATGCGACAAACCGTCACTAGGCATTTGAAGAAATGCATTGATTGCCAAAGATACAAAGTCGATAATAGGAAACCAGCAGGGTTATTGCAGACCCCCGCCACCAATCGCCGCTTTGAAGTGATCGCTGTCGACCTTTTTGGTCCGTTACCGGAGACTTCTAACGGGAACAAGTGGATCCTAATTGTCGAAGACACATGCTCACGGTGGGTGGAATTATTTCCCTTGCAGCGAGCTACCAGTTCAGACTGCGCTAAGTTACTGATATCAGAAGTGTTTCTGAGGTTCGGGGTGCCCCGACGAGTCGTGAGTGATAATGGCGTGCAATTCGTCAGCGAGGTAATGCAACAAGTTTGCCATGCATTCGGTATTACTCAGTCGCTGATACCCGTTTACCACCCTCAGGCAAACCCAGTAGAGAGGAAGAACCGGGACCTCAAACCCCAATTGGCAATATTGGTAGGGAGAGATCACGAGACTTGGGATGTTCATTTGCCTGCGATTCGGTTCGCAATGAACTCCGTAATGACTAGCAGCACAGGGTACTCACCAGCTTACTTGACGTACGGGCGCGAGATACGCGCACCCGCTGATGTGGTCGCGGACATGCGCGCAATCCTGGAGAGTGACAACGTTGTCACGAACCTGACCCCATACTTACGACGAATGTCAAGCGCGCTGTTTGACGCTCGCGAAATCCATGAAAAGAACCAAGCAAGCCAGAAACGTTACGCAGACGAGAAACGCCGCCCTGCACCGGACTATTCCGCAGGGGATCTGGTTCTTTTAAAGACCCAGGGTAGCAACGATGCTCCCTGTGGACAAAACCCGAAGTTCATACCACGTCGGGATGGTCCATATCGGATAAAGGAGACTCTTAGCCCCACGACTTATGTCTTGGAGAAAGTAGGTAGTGGCGAGAAATTGGGCAGATACCACGTCTCACAGCTGACCCCGTTCGTGGGCGATGTTCTGGTTCCGCCCGTCAACGAAAAGCGTAGGCGTGGAAGGCCCAAGCGATTCCTAGACTGACCAAGACGCGAGGGCGCTATGTCTAGGTCAGAGGGGGAGGATGTAACGCGGTACACCGATTTAGGTTTGTGTCGAACGCACGCGCGCTACTCTAGTGGCAACACGCCACCTCACCACTATTTCCCTTCCCCCGCTTCCCCGCCACTGACCGCTCGAGGCTAGAACAACGAGTCCCGCGCCGGAGCCGCGACGCACGCCCATATTTGTGCCGCGAATATTTCTTTGAGTTTTTTATATTATTGTGCAACTTTGTTTTATATTTAGTTTATTTCCAATATATACAGTTTACAGTCATTCGTGTGTCGAACGTTATTTCACGCCCCTGAGAACCCACCACCGAGAACAATCATCATCATCAACTATATTACATATTTTATTTAGTATTACTGTGAAGTCATAAATATTGCACACCGTTTTCTATTATTACTTACGATCGGGTGATATATAATAAGACAACCCGAACCAAATTATAATCGCCTAACAAAAACCGTACATGTTTCTATAAAAGAAATATGGTCCGCACAGCACTATTGTACCTAATCACGTAAACACGTTTGACACTGACAGTATTGGCATAGCGCCAATACTGTCAGTGTCAAACGTGTTTACGTGTGTCATACAGTCATATTGTTTAGCAATTTATTGAATTCTTGGTGTTGTTTTCTGAATTTATTCTGTTATAAGAAGTTTTTAAAGATAGATTGACATAATTCACTGTCAGTATTAATCAATTGCATTTCTAATTTATTACGGTGCACATCTTTTGCAGAAAAACTCAACGCGCTTTGGGTATAGTCCCATATAAAAGTTAGAATAAGATCATGGACAAGTACACCGTACCCAACATTCCTACTTCTCAACAAGTATTAGAAGATATATTTGATAATGAAATCGTTCAGGTGAAGGACCATCCCATTAAATTAGTGGAAGGAAATGAAAGTTTACACAATGCATATTGTAGTTATAAAAATTTTAAGCAGCTTCAAGAAGATGTAATGAAACAAGACGGACTAAATTCCAAGTTAGATGAATTAAATCAAAAATTAGTAGACAACATAACTAGTTTGAGAAAACAAATGTAATGTACTAACTTTGTATTCACATAGGTTTAAGTGTATACTTACACTTTATCAAAATACATTTGTTTTTTTTTAATTTGTATAGTTGTTGCATCTAAATGAAGGATATTGTTTTAAAAACAAATGTACTAGTTGTCTGACTAGTAAATTACTTTGAAATAAAAATTATATTAAAACTAGGGATGTAATGTAAAAATCCATGGGTAATAAACATTATTTTATTATACTACCAAGTTTTATTAAATCTTCTTCTGTTACTAATCCCAAATGAAATATGCAGACTAAGGCTGCACCTTGCTCAGAAAATTTCTTGTTCTTCTCCCAAAATGATGATGAGTATTTTTTGCCATTAAAAGTAATTATTGTACGGAATAACTTTTCCACTTGATGTGTTTCATATACAGGTAATTTTAGGCCATTTTTGCCAGCCCATGAATGGAGTTTGAATTTGGGTAAAGTTTGGTCATTAAAATTAGCTCGAATAAAACTCACCTGAAAATCGTAAAGTAGATAAATACACGATTTCATTAGAATTGAAGACATATGTATGTACACAATAACCACTTACTTTCATTTGAATGACATCTGTTACATCAATGTCAAGTGCTTTCATTTTCTTTTGAGGAGGCTCCAAATCATCTGGAGTGACTTGCCACCTTCCTTGTATTCCCCTCTTCTGGTAACTGGACTGTGTTTCTCTACAAAACTCTCCTAAACCCCATATGGAGCTAAAAAAGAAAAAAATGCAGTTTTGTCATAGCATAGGCTGTATAATTACATTCAAGTGACCGTGACTTACTGTTACCTACCATATTTGTTCTAGTGTTTGACAATCTAAAAACTGTCTCCCTCTGGGTGTATCTTGTAAATCTCTCAAAATATTTTGTACACAGTACTTTGTGTTACATGGTGAATTATCATATTCAACAGCAAGTTTTAGATACTCCTCAATGACAGTATCCATTGGGAGTAACCCTTCTTTCCTAAAAATGGAACAATTCCACTCTGCAGCTCTTGCAATCATAACACTGGAACATCCAGTCATTTCTTTGAATTTATAAATATCAGCATGCTTTTCAATTTCTTTAGAACCTCCACTGAAATAATATAATGTAAGAATTAGAAGTAGGTATAGGGTTTCAAATATTTATACAAATAGCTATATATTTTAAGCATCTCTCGAGGACATACTTTGCTATAACGGGTACAGAAATTCTTTCCGCAACAAACTTTATTATATCTGTGTGAACTGCGTGTTGTGGACGTTCATCCCTTGTCCTGCCATGTATTCCAATCGCTTTGATTCCTGAACTCACCAGTTTCTCTACAACCTCCAATGTTTCTTCTGGTGTTTGAAGTATCCTTATTTTACAAGTAACTGGTATAGATAAATTATCTACTAAAGTTTTCAATATGTTAAATGCTTTTTCTGGCTGGGCCATTAAAGCAACACCCATGCCACCTTTGATAGAAAATTCCTTTGGGCATCCCATATTTATATCTATAGCTGCTACATCTTTTTCTCTGCAAGAGAAAAATATTTAAGATGGTATGTACTTACTTATTCATTTCTATAAAACACTAAATTGTCAATTAACTTACATTAATTTTGCGACTTTTAAAGCTCTTTCTGCATTAGATGTTCCCAGCTGTAGTATTACTCTGTCCTTTTCTTCATTACAAGTCCTAAAAACGATTGTTCCATCTGTTTGATCAACATAGTCTACAGTATTTAAAATATCTGAAAACATAACATAATAAACTTAATTTAAGTTGATAGTTCATTTATATTCTCATAGTTACTGATAGATATTTCGGAAGAATAGCTGTACAGGTTATTTCATGCATATTAGGTACAAATAAATTAGGTACATGTTGTGATACTAGTTTAACGGCGTAGGTACCATTAGTTGCATTTTGTCTGTAATGAAATTAGAATACTAACCATTATATCTACGTTTTGATCTTAAAAATTTCCAATCGATTAGTTCTTCAGTATAAACTAAATCTGCACCATATCGTAGTGCCAAAAGTCGCATGGGTAATGTGCCGATGCGAACCATTGGCGCCAATATAATTTTACTGTCGTAAGTTAACATTGCTAAAAATTTTAACTTTACAGTTATACACTGATGATAAAAAATAGAATAAATAGAATTGACTCGTTTAGGGCTATCCACTGTCAATTAACTGATGTAAACATTTGCGAACCATGCGTGTGAACATTATCAATCAATTGTCAATGTCAAACTGATAGACTGATGATACCTCGGAACAATAACTAGACATGGAAGCCAGGCTAAAATAGCAATTTACAAACATATATCTGATGCTCTCACTCTTTACACGATTTTGCGTAAGCGAGAATGAGACTGCAAACTGAACATAGTTCTGATAATTTGCAGGTTGTCACAACTTTCAGTGGACTCATTACAATCTTATGTCATTGGACTCATTCAGCATACTACCAAATTCAAAATCACGTTTTGACGTTCTATGTTTTACAGTTTCACTCAAGTTTGACACCTTCCTCACTTTGCCGGATTATAGTACTGAAGTGTCACCGTGGTTGTATTTACGGCTCCTGATAATAAAAAATATTTTCTAAGGAATTAGCGCAAAAGAAAGGAAGAAAGGAAGTGTATGGTCGTTCTTTATTATGTGTTTTACTTAATAAAAATACGTCTTGTGTGATTGACGGCTGCAATTCACATTTAGGAAGAAAAGAAAACAGTGGTGAAAAAATTCACTTTCATTCGTAACTTTTTGATATATTTTAAAATAAATTATACTGGAAATACCGGTAAACTATAAATAAATGTTACTTATTTATTGTCGTACTTTTCAATTGCAAGCCTAAACAGTATTATTCCATCTTTTCCTAAAAAATCTAAATCAATTTTCTAAGTTAGTTTTTAAGCTAGTGATGTGGTCATGTTACATATCGATATTTTAGTTAGGCTTTGAAGTTCTTTATAGTATAGACATCGTTTAGAGCCCGAGTCACATGATACTTTTGATGATTTGACAGAACACGACTACATTTTGTACCCATCATCTATTACGGAATATTCTAAGAATGTCATAGAATACATAATCGGCTTTATCGGAACGAAATTAAAAAATCTTTGCAATGCGAAAAATGCCTAGAAATACGGAGAGTATTCCTTAAAGATCTTTGATATCTTTAAATATAGAGGAGGCCTATTTAAACCAACATATGGCTTAACCAAGATCTGTCAACTGTCCTAAAAAATTATAAGAGAATATCAAGTGCATATTGATCAAAATCTCTCGGTAAACCAAAATAATTATTAGATTGATTAATAAAGTTTCAGCAAATGTGTTGCCGTCAAAAAATTTACGTGAAAAAAAAGATTATTCATTAGAACAATATTTCTATGATGATCACAGAAATCTTATAAAGTCCATAGCACAAAAATATTTTAAACTTAGGATACATTATGTAACTAAAAATTTGACTGTACCTACCGAAAACATTCGCACATATTTAAAAGTCAATGATAAACACATAATAGTACACCACTACCACGGTTTGTAAATATGCTTTGTTTGTGAGCAATTAAATTATCTTTTTAATATTGAGTTTTATTTCTGAACCCACAACATCCAGCTTAAGAACCTAATGTACGTTAAATCACAGCAGCAATACTTTCAGGTACCATAATTTGTCGATAAAATATATTAATATATTCCCATCACTAGCATATTTACAAGTAGTGACAACCCGCATAATAACGAAACGAAACAATACACATGTCTCTTTCTTATACACTATCAATACCATAAGTAAAAAAAAGATGAATATATGGATTGTAGTTGTTATTTTAGCCTGGCTTCCATGCTTTAGTTATTGTTCCGAGGATGATACATAGGTACTGATGCGGTACAATGTCAGTGGTTCAGCAGCCGCTTGATTTGATAACAATTGACAGTTATTCATGTATGTCATTTTGACAGTAATGATAAACAAATAAAGTTTCCCATACACCATCCATCCACACGCTTGTGGATGGGTGTGTGTATGTATGTTGGGCTGAGTGCTTTGTATGCTTTGTGATTCCCACTGTCGTGTTATAAAAAAATTAACGGCTGTCCGCCAAACAGTTGCTATACATCGATCTGTGGGACTTTATTTTGAAGTATTTGATATTTGTGACAAACATCAATCGTGTGGATGTGGATGAGGCATTATGAAAGAAAGAAAGAAAAATAATTTATTTCGCCACGACACACAACAAGAATACAGCGCAGTCGCAGTCTTAGCGCAAAAGGCTGGAGCTCAGCTTAATACCATTGCCCGGGCACGAAGACTCGAGTCCATGGCGCTGATTTTCAGTACTACTATGTCAGTATGTATGTATGTATGGTATGTCAGTATTTATTATTTAATGAATAGGATGCATGACAGACCAAATAGTATAGGTAATCAGTATAGTGCATGTATAGTGGCAGACGTCCTCCATCGTAGGCCGCATCATCACTCACCACCAGGCGAGACATAGTGGCCAAACGTCGGCCCATAAACCAAACAAATATAAAAAAAATTTTCAGTGCAGCTGCAGTGACATTGTCAAAGATTTGTGTCTGTCATAATCACATCTATTGCTGTATTAATACCTACTCTATCGTAGTAAACTCTTTCCTTGGTGGGTACCTAGTTGTTTGTGACTTCCCTATAAATTGCTAGTTTACTCTTCCCTTATTATTTTATACTCTTTGCTTAGGTACCCTTTGTTTCCGACTCTCCTCGGTAACAAAGACGCAGAGTTTAATAAGTATGTATTTATTGTTTCATAGTATTCTATGTTCGTTGAACTCTTTTTGATAATTGTTATTTCTATTGTAGTCCTGAAAAAGTTAATACAACATTTAACAAAATCAAATAGCGATGAAACCGACGGTAGCAGCGGATGAAATGTTTCCTGAAGGCGTTGGACCGTACATGGATTTAGAAGAAGTAAGTTTATGCCTATTGTATAATACAATAATAAAAAGATAGTGCTTTATATTGATTCACTACGATATGAATAATATTTGCATTTATCTATACAAATATTGATTTACACACTAATAATTCACTGTTTTTTTTAACAGGCTGGTGGCCCCTCGAATCTACTTATGGACCTGGCAGCAAACGAAAAGGCAGTTCATTCAGATTTTTTCAATGGTCGGTTTCAAACATCTTATTAAGAAATTAGGGCTTCATCATATTAATTTCTTTTTAAAATCATTCATTTGATACTAAGAAAAAGAGAATAGTCAAGTCAATTTCCTACAAGAATGACCCAATAAATTATTATGTTTTCGGCTTACTTACGTAGTAATCTGACGTTTTGAAGTTACAATACAAGAATGACCCACCTTATAACTATTATTTACATGCTATTTTACGACATACCCAACCTATGTAAATAACCTTTACCCTGATACAATCATCATGTGACAAATAATTAGCTAAGTATTTTTGTTTATAATATTGTTACATGTGACTTATAACTGGTGAAACAAGAGTATATATTGCGTATTTGGCTTTATGACGTATTTGGATGTGTTCCCGGGCCCCAAGAGGAGGGATGATTCTTTTAGACTATCAAGATTTCTTTTTACCTAATTGTAGAAGGGGTTGTTACTTTTCATGCATAATATGTATAAATATAAAATTCTTTAACCTCATTTTTTTGCATTGTATATAAGCCAAGTAAAATGTAAAAAAAATAGAAGTGATACAATTTGTCGATACTCATTGTAGGACTAAAACACAAAAGTAACAAAATTTTTTGTGGCCTCAGATATCCCAAGCTCAATACAAAACTGCCCCTAGTCTTTTAAAACATTCTAATGAAATATTGTTTTTTCTTTTCAGATTTTGAAGACTTATTTGATGATGATGATTTGAAGTGAATAGATGCTTTTGAAATTAGTTTTAGTTGTAAAGTTCTAATAAATAAAATAATTAATTATAATTTTATTGACATTTATTTCACTTATCATTAAAACAATTCCATTTTAAATAAAAGTCTCAAGAAATAACAGAACAAAGGATGTCCATGTCATCTCTTCACATTTAATTATATAGGTTCCAGATACACAGATAATTTATAAATTGATGAACAAAATTCATCTATCTATTACAAGAGCAAAATTCACAGACAAATAAAATACCAATTGCACAATCATGTTACAAAAATATTTAAAAGCTTTTAGATGAAACAATACTTGAGATCATAAACAAATTGAGACTAGCTAAACTGAAGAGCAAAATTTAGTTTCATCTCTTAGTTCCTAATCATCACGTAATACTGTTATCTTATACAAAAAGATCTACTAACTTGAGAAACACATAATATACTGGCTATGGAAGAATAATAACCAAAAATGATACTATTAAAGTCAATTTGTATTATTGGAATTGTTTTAAATATAATATTAAATTATTACATTGTGTCAAAATATGTTTTAAGCTAATATAATGTTTGAACTTGTGTGGCATATTACATAAACTTAGCCCACATGCAACAGTAACACCTAGGTAATATAAACAAAATAGTTATAAAGGTGCAGCTCGGCGTGAACGACGCATCGCTAGCTACACGTCGACATCGCTACTGTCGTCGCTGTACTCATTACCCTCCGCTTCTTCTTGTTCCTCATCTGCTTCTGCCTCACCTTCAATCGCGTCATCCTCTTCACCACCTTCGTCCTCGAGGTCACCTTCCTCGAGCATTGTCGACAATTTTGTAATTACTCCTCTGCCCATTTCTGTAAAAAAGGTGTTTGCAAATTTTTGGAACTATTGGTTCAAATTGGATAATTTCTTTTTGTGTGTGTTGTTTAGCATTTCTGGATAAATTGAACATTGCGTTATCATCAATAGGTGCCGAGACGAGCGCGTAAAACAGCGTAAGAGTAGCTAGTGTAACATAAAGTGGAATGATGCAATGGAAAAATAAGAAAACATGGTCTTAACTAACCTAGTGTCATTGGAGTATAGGACAAAGCATATATAAGGCAGTGTATGACATGTAAGGTATAATTGAATAACGGATACTTACGTTCTACATATGTCTTTAGAGATTTTGGAACCATACTCTTTGCCTTTTCTATGTCCTCTTCTGAACATTCACCTTTATCTAAACCTGAGGCAAAAATATTGATATTAAATAGAACAGAAGTGCCATAAATTATATTTAAATCTGAACTTCTATACAAATATCTAACTCACCAAATAGCAAACCCATTCTTTTTAAAATATCAATGTCATCGTGTATTTGGAACCGTTTGTTGAAGTTGAACATGTATTCGGTCCTGAAAACATAATAAAAGGATACAATTAAGATTTCAAACACAAAATAATATTAATAATTATAACATAAACATGCTCTTCCTGGTTGTATAATATTGTAGAATTGACATTTGTATATTTCATTGGAGTGAATTTAGTGTAAAATTTTGTTAATGTAGTATATAACTTACTTATCATTAGAAATACTGCAGTCAATTAAAGCCTTATCACTAGTATTCACAACAATGAATGGCAAATGGATGGCAGACGATGGAGATGGCTTCACTCCTTTGCTCTCAGCTTCTTTATTCCTCTCTATTAAACTCTTAAATGAAATGTGCTGAAATGTAAAAAGTAAATGTTAATATTACATGGGAAAGTATGAACAACACTCTAATGAGAGTCACATATTATAAAAGTCTTAATAAGAAACATTTTAGATAAAGATATATCAGACTTAAAAATTTCAACTGTCAATCTCACACCCTTCCCTCTTGGCATCTTCCTTCCAAATTACATGACATCTACAATATTGCAAAACGAAAATAAACCTCAATTAACTTACCTGTAATATTAGTTCTTGTAATTGTTGAGTCTTCTTTTGTATTTGCTCTAACTTAGCCTGTTTTTCTTTTTCCAGTGCAGTACATTCCTGTACACTATTTGTGGGTAGTCCAAGCCATCTGATTTCTTTCTTTTCTTTAGATATTATATTCATTGCCATTAAAACATTTAATGCATCATATACTCTTCTACGTATATTCTTTTGATCATATTGCTGTAATGTTAAATTACTCTGAATTAAATTTTTACTTAATTCTCTGGGGCAGCTATAATTGCTTACGAATTAGCGGTTGGCGTGGTGGCTGGGCTGACTAGCTAGACTAGCTGCTGCTGACTTTATGTTTGTAAATGGAGAAAACACTAGGTCAGGGCCAGTGTAGGGCGTAGTTATATAGTTATAATTACATGTAGTTGTTTGTAACTTAACTAAAGTAATCTAACTACATGAGGTAGTTATTAATTTGATTACTGGAATCTAGTAGTATAACTACTGATTATTGTCTTTTTAGTCTAATATTTTGCAATTAAATAAACATTGTAATGTGTTGTTAATTAAGTAAGTTACAGGATCTGACTGCATAAAAAATCTTCAGTTTATTTCACAATTTCAACTCAATTTGAATAATTTGTGCATCAACTAAAATAAAAATTGACAATTGGGCTAATCATTCAAATTAGCCTTAAGTACACATAGAAATATAATAATTATTTTAGCTATATCTGTGATGGGCGTTAGCTTTTTTATAAAACGCAATATTATTAATTTAAATGTGTATTTATGAAAAGTAATCTATAATCGTGATTATAACTATAATAATAACTACTAATTACGATTTAAATAATTTATGTAATCTGCAATCATGATTATTAACTATTTTATGTAGTAATCAGTAGTTAGATTTCTATATCTGGGCTCAGCTCACTCTGCTCAGGGCTATGTTTAACAAAATAATCGAAAAGAAAGTACATCAATTGATTTCTTATACTTACTTGGCTATCTGCTGAACCATGCATCCCTGCTGCAAATTCAAGCACTAATTCATCTGCAACTTCATTGTATGAAGTAAAGCCTTTATTTCTGACTTTTTCACAAACTTTCATTGAAAAATGCCTTAATCCCTTGCCAACTTTGTCTGCATGCTTACGTCTCTTTGTGGTGCTGAAAACATGATGGGGGTTTATTAAGTACAGTGCAAAGTATTACCAATCAACTGAAATTAAGTTGTTAGTATTTATTTGTCGATGAATCTAAACAATAATGGGAACAGAATTAACTGCCTCATTGGCCGAGAGGTCGCAAGTGCGACTACCGGGCAAGGGGTCTCGGGTTCGATTCCCGAGTCGGGCAAAGTATTACTGGGTTTTTCATAAAATTCACAGTAGTTGCACGGAGTCTGGAATTGTGCCCGGTATATGGATATAGGCTCACCTCCTATTACATGGGACTCATAACATAAATAGTGAAAAGTTGGTGTTACATTGTACAGTGGCATAATGTACACCTCTGCCTAACCCTTCGGGATAAAAGGCGTGATGTTATGTTAAATTAAAAACATTATGAAATAATTGAGATAATCAGCTAGATTTTATATAAAAATCTAATTGGCAATAAGAACTAATGAAAGAAACATTAGCCAAAGATAAATTAGACTCAAGAATTAAATAAACAGGTGCCCAATACTCACTATTCTGCTGGGGGATCATTATCAGAATCATGTCTCCTTCTTGAAGCATGAGACATCGCTGGAGACAAACTATTAACAGTGCTAGTACTTGTTACTAAATTATCAGACTTTGTTGGTAAAGTACTTAGGTCTGGCACAGTCTGTATATATTTCAGCTCTGACAATGATTCCGGTTGTACCTGTAAACATAGGAGATGATATCATTAGTCTTTGCTATCAATTAAATATGTAAAAAAAGTATAATATAACTCCATGTAGAGTGACTTAGTTACAAAATATGCAGGTTTAAATGGTGAGGAAATAAGGACATGATTGACTATAGCATATCAGAGCAAAAGATCACCAAATCAGAATGGTCTTTTTCCCAAAATGGTACATTGGGGTAGCCTTATTGTATAACAGCAGTCAAAATTAAAGACTAAAATTACTACTCAGCTGTGCTCCTCAGAATTGAAGAATAAATTTGAATAAAGAACTAAATTTGAATTGCGTCTATCATTATAAGTTGAGAAAGATCAAAATTACCTGATTTTCTTCTTCAGGGTCCTTAGGTTCAACCTTAATTGTTTGTAAGTTTGGTAAATTGTCAACTTGTAAAAACTCTGAAATTTAATAATAAAAATGAAAAATCAGACGAAATGAAGAATCAAAGTAAACTGACAACTAACTCACTAAGTTATGTCTACAATCATCATTTTCTTTGTCATCAAAGATTATAAAAACAAGGTCTTATAAATAATTATAAGAAAATTAATCTTTATGGAATCAGCTTTATAATAACCTCTGTATAAATTGAAAATGTGTAAATATATTACATAACACATACAAACATTACACGAAAGCCTTTGAATTTAGTAGAAAAACATCAGTTACAATACTAGAGAAATCAGCTTACTTGATGCACATTTGATTCCAGTCAACTTTACAGCCCGGTACACTGATGTCTGCAATCAACAAAAGAAATATTTGTATTTCATGATCAATGAGTCATAAATTATAATAAATGAATCTACATATTATTATCTATTTGTCATTCCTCAGTTTCACTATAATTATCTACCTTGGATATTCATTTAAATGTGAGTGATCTGTTGAGCTAGTTATACATCATTTATTATTTGCTAATGTACTTACTAATTACCAATGTAATGGAATCATTTATAGAATACTATGTTTAAAAAAAACAGTTTAAAACAATAGATCCAGAAAAGATCTCTCTGTGTGATCTACAGTTATTTTTAGATAACATATTAGATTGCTCTACTAAATAAGGCTGACCTCAGCCTTCTAATAAATAACGAATTAATTAATGTTGAAGTTTATCTAAGTTTACTGAATTATATTCAATGATAATATCCACTTTGACATATTGTAGTTTTTTGTAATAACATATACCTTTGGTCTGGTCGACATTGGAAAATATAATTTGACAAGAAAATACAGATTTGATAGTATTTATAAAAAAAAACATCAAAGATATCCTTGGTGTTTTTTGATGATGTTGTGCTCCCTAGGGATCTAGGGGTTTGTAAAAATAACTACATAAAGTAATACAAAAAAAAAAATTATGTTCAGGCTTCTTCAGATCTCAAAGGTGTCAAATAAATATGATTATTTGAATTCTTTATCCCTATGCTTATACATATGTAGGTCTGTATAATATTACATCTAACAAATAAAAACACAAATTGATTCAACTGCTGCTTAGTATCAAGGAGTAAATTATCAAAAAGCATTACACCACATACCTTATTGATTCCTTCAGCTGATGCTGGCAGTTTTATAATTTTGACAGGATTAGGTTTAATTTTAAGTTGAGCAAGTGACTGATTATTTGTATTTTGAACAACTTTTACCATCTGAGGATGCCCTAAAATAAAACATTGCATTCGTTAGGTTAAGGTCATCTTATTCACTGCTAGCATAGCTATAGCTGCATAGCTATTACACTGATCTAAACATTTATCACAAGCAGTCTAGAGAAGGTTGAAAGAACTGTACAGATTGGAGAGTTACAAATCCACTGTCTAACAAAAGGAAACTGTCCAACCGAGCGCGTCGTTTCTACTTTGGAAACACTGTAAATTTTTAAAATTGCATGACCATGGAAAGTTATCAGCAGACTTCTAAACATTCAAAGATTTATAGTAAAAATAATAAGCTTTACAATAAATAGCTTGGCTACTAACCATTAGCGTCATGTATAAGAAAATTTACAGTACTATTCGTCTGAGACATTTTCTCCGTATTCTTCGTAAATGTACGTCCATTTACGTAATTCACTAATGTAGCATTTAAACATTTGTTGATGACCAAACAAAATAACAATACCTACTAAACTCGATTTGTATGGTCAAAATGGCGACATTAGTTTTGGGTTAACTTCGAAGGTCAGAAAAATCAAATCAAATTATAATATATATATATTTCTAACACAATTTCTTGATAATAACACTAAGGTCACAATAAGTTAATGAAATGAAATCATAAAGAAATAAACATTGCACATAAAAGCCCAATTTTAAACAACGGAAGAGTAAATAGAGAGAGGCGGGCGGGCGGTTTTATGATTTACCAGCTGATTGGACTGCTGTTGTGTTCACGTGGTAGTAGCGGTGGCATACGCCGGGAATTTTGTAACTGGAAAAGGCGCCAAACGTATTTGTACATGCTGCCATCTATTGAACAAATTCAGAAGCGTCTCATAATATAGCGGCAACATTTTCTGACCTCGTATCGGGAACGAGTCTTTTTAGCTTAAGTTTACGAAAATATCGTTTTATCCAATCACTTTCATTCATTTATTTACTTAAAAAGTCCGAAAATTACTATTTGACACAAAAGTCACTTCATCATTATCTTTAACAGTCTGTTCTCGTATACTGCTAGATAGGCCTCTCCATTTCGGAGTCGCGGAGAACCTAACGGGTAACTGGGGCTCCGGCTCGACGTGCAGGAGAAGGAACGGGGTGGTTTTTAGTCAGTAAGAGTCTGACACTCCCTCTCGCCTCACCCAGGTGGGAGCAGTCATTCGATGATTTTCCCCCCTTAAAAAAAAAGGCCTCTCCAATGGCACACCACTGAGCTCAAAAGTGACTTATTTAGGATGATAGGTTTGAGACTTATGTCGGAATACTGAAATCCTACTCAATTTTAAGCCGTGCTTAAGTATAGTTCTATCAATACAAATTTTGTAAAATGACAGAGATGGCACGATATTTGAGCACGACTTAAAATTAAGTAACGTTTCAGTATTCGCGCATTAGGTACCCAGATAGAATTTTTTAGCAATGTAACTTGCAATTGAAAATAAATAACTTGTAACTATTTAAAGACAAATTAGCGTCTAGTCTTTAATCTTTAATGAATATAATTTAGTTATGGACTTTGGACTTGCACTAATTCATAAGTAACTACTCTAAAAAAATCACTGTGTCAATGTCTGACTGTCACTTTGTCGGTTGTCATTGTCAGTGGTTGTCTTTTGGTCATTTAGTTTGTTTCTCTTTCTATATTTTTTGTAGTTTTTGTCAACATTCAAGTTGAAAACTTTCAAAACTTTTGTGTAGTGTAAAAAAACAGGCAAACCTAACTGAAACTTGTGAAGATGTGGCTTCCCCTATTTTCCCTCTATATTCTAATATCATTAAATAGTATTACTTCCATCGGAATCGGTGATTTAAATGTACCACCGGAACATGTAACATATGTTTTCAATGCTTTCCCTAGTGTTGCCGATGCTTGTCTATCAGATCCACAATGTTCTTACAAAGAACTGGCAGAGTCTAAGAGGTGTTGGGGCTATGAACATAATTGTAACAGAGATATTTCGTACCCGGTCCGTCCTGTTTGCCCTGGTGACCATCGCGGTTGGGTGAAGACGAAGGAGGCTCAGTATGATACTTTCTACACTCAAGCTGATTTTGGTAAGTACTTAGTACCGTAGTGGAGTGATTAGAGATAGTTGCTCTTTGTATTGTATCAGTTGATCGCGATTCGCGACAGATCGCGACGATCAGTAGGCACTACCTATCTACTCTGGCATATTCTTATATTATTCATATTTTAAATTTGAAAGTATAAAATATAATAAAGAATATGACATTATATTTTAATAGAAATCTCCATTAATTGTATGTGCATTAATAAATTAGGTAAGTGCCAATTTTTAAAAGAATATATGAATAATAATTATTTATTTCTACTTGTAGAGTGACTGTGTTGTCCTTGAACAATTTAATACCTGAATAAATGTTAACAAATTCTGTTATAGTTCTACAACTACTGTCAATATTATTGTTTCTAGTTATTGTTTGTAATATATAATACCTTCTCTGAATTTCATAGATAATTATTATATTATGTTGAATAAAATACTGAATTTTGTATACTTTGTTTCTTGATCATAAATTGATATACTTCAATATGGTCTCTATCAATTCCAGGATATGTGAAAGAACAAATAGATGATTTAATGGTCATGTGTGAAGCAACATATCCTGATGACACTTCATTGGAATGCTCCAAATATTTAAGGTAATCATTGAGTTTTAATTCTTTTCATCAAATGTTATTAATGGATTAATAACAAATAAAAGGACTATTTAATTTCAGATTTTGCCGAGGCAGGAACATGATGTTAAATTTCACAGGCCTTATTGGTCGTGGGGACAACTTGAGATACAAGATTGATATTCTAGGTCCTGGTCAAATAGGTAATGCAATGTACTTATTTAATTTATCTACAGGTGTCCCTGCTGAAGTCAACAATCAAATGTGATCGAAAAGGTTCCTACAGATATTTTTTTTTTTAAAAACGTTGCCCATCACTAGGTTTTTCTCCTGTGTCGTGGGTGCGTTTACAAACATACAATATCACATACACATGACACCCAGACCTGGAACAACAATCTGTGGATCACACAAAGAGTTGTTCCGTGCGGGAATCGAACCCGCGACACGTTGCGCGGCAGCCAGTGGCCCAGCCAACGCGCCAACCGTGCAGTCGAATCAGAAAATATAATACGATATCAGAAAATATTTAAAAAATTCCAAGTTACATAGTTTTTAAATTGCAATGACTTATGTGTTATCCAGGAAAAAGTCTTTTGACTCTTGTTGCCACAATTCTTTATTTTTTTGCCTAATTTCTTGCTTACATTATCCTGAATAGTGTTTCAATATTGTTGAATCATAAATTCTGAGTCAACTGCTTTAGTTTGGAAAAGAATGTCGTTTTATGACGAAGCAAGTATTCTTAATATATTATTCACGTAACTTTTAAGTGGCTGCACTGAAAAAAAATTATACTGCGGTCGTAGTGGCAAATTTCACCAAAGTTGGCGCATTTAATAGGTATTCTAAAATGGTATGGACTGCCTCGTCGAGTGGTCGCAAGTGCGACTGCCGGGCAAGGGGTCTCGGGTTCGATTCCCGGGTCGGGCACAGTATTACTGGTTTTTTTAAAAAAAAAATCTCAGTAGTAGCACGGAGTCTGGAATTGTGCCCGGTATATGGCAATAGGCTCACCCCCTATTACATGGGACTCGTAACATAAATAGTGAAAAGTGGGTGTTACATTGTACAGTGGTATAATGTGCACCTCTGCCTACCCCTTCGGGGATAAAAGGCGTGATGTTATGTATGTCTAAAATGGTATGTCACTCCCAACATTATTTCTTAAATTCTTACTTAAACTTAACTTCTTACATTTTTCTGATAGCTGTTGGAACTTTGCCGATCACCTGGTGCCATTTGACTGTTGACTTCAGGGACACCTGTATATATCACCATTTGTTATTTCAATTAGTATCATGGCTCTAACTTTAATTGTGTCATTTGTTTGCATACTAGTTAGTACAACACTTATTGTTTAACTTTCTATAATGAAGTTAATACCACTAGATTTTATTAATTGAGATAATCAGTATTTTAATGTAACAGTTCAGTGTCAGTGAAAACTTAATTTTGTTTATCTTTTTAATTTCCAGGTGGTTTCTGTAACTTTTATTCAGAGAGATTGAAGAAGGAGGCAGACCATATGAGTGCTTTACAGTCATGGGCTCCTGAACTCATACATTTTGTCAAGACACCACAGAGACCAATACCTGATGGGATGTGTGACATAGTAATAAAGAAACCCACTTATATAATGAAATTGGATGCAAGTATGTAATTTTTAGATTATTTTTATATCAAGTATCAAAATTGTCTTGTGCTATAGTTGTTCAGTTATAGTAACTGATTCTTTATTTAGATTTATTTTTCACTGTCATAAATACAAGCTTTGAGATTAATTTCTATTTACTTGGTAGGCAAGGTGCTCTGATTTCTATGATGGGCTGTATTGTGAAACTACCACATGAAATGTAAACATATTTTATAGAAATGTAAATGTTTCTGTTTCAGCTGTTAACATGTACCACCACTTCTGTGACTTCTTCAACTTGTATGCCTCACTACATGTGAACTCGACTCATCCTTCTACATTTTCAAAGGATAATCACATTTTGGTGTGGGAAACATTTACATATGAATCAGCTTTTAAAGAAACATTTAAGGCGTTCACTGACAACCCTATTTGGGATCTGAAAACATTCAGAGGAAAAGTTGTGTGCTTCAAAAATGTTGTATTGCCGCTCTTACCTAGAATGATCTTTGGATTATTTTACAACACTCCTTTGGTAAGATTTTTGTTATACCAAAACACAATATCCTTAGGCTAGCTTCACCATATCTTTATATGAATCCATTTTATTTTATGAGGTTAATTAAGTACATGACTATGTTTTCACAGATATATGGCTGTGAAAGGAGTGGTTTGTTCCATGCTTTCTCAAGGCATATAATCCATTCATTGAATATAAAACTGCAGCCACGTACTAATGACAAAGTAAGAGTGACTCTGCTATCAAGAGGGACCACATATCGCTCCATACTCAATGAAAAAGCAATTATTGATGCTTTAAGTAAAGTGGAAGGGTATGAAGTACAACGCGTGGTGTATGACAGAACAGTGCCGTTTCTGAAGCAGTTGGAAATTACTCATAATTCCGATGTATTTATTGGCATGCATGGCGCTGGATTAACGCATTTGCTCTTCTTGCCTGATTGGGCAGCTGTATTTGAAGTGTAAGGAAGTCAAGTATTAATTTAGAAATACTTATTGTTATCTATTTCTATTGTATTCAGTAATCAATGGATAATAATAAATATATTTAACCTTAATCTGTCAAACACCAAGCGGTCACCGGTGACCGCAACCTATTGTTCTTTAATTGTGTCTATAAAACCGGTACTCGACGAGTTAAACAACCATAAGTTCTACTATACATAAAATCAAGGTTATTCACTCGTTACTGGACTCTACACGAGTAAATTAACAGAATGTTATATTTTTTCAGTTACAATTGTGAGGACCCTAACTGTTACTTGGATCTAACACGGCTCCGAGGTCTAAAATATGTTACTTGGGAAGACAAAACTAAACTTGTCCAACAGGATGAGGTAACTTGATTACTCTTTGTATAATTTACATTTATAATTATAATTATTTGAGTAATTAAACAGATCTAGAATTCAGTAATTATATTATGGTCAATTCTAGAACCTGTCGTATTATATCTTTCGTCACATAACACTCACTTTTAACCAGTTTTTATATCTCTCTTGCAATAGAGGCTATTGCTATACTCTAGGTTCAGCGTTATTGAGGGTTCTAAATCTAAACAAAATTACTATAGCGCACTAAACATCTGTTGTACGGCATGCGGCATCAGCATTTGAAACGTCTCGATCGATGTTTGTAGTAATGGTTGTTTTATAATGACATTTGTTATTTTCAGGGTCATGGTCCTGGCGGCGGTTCTCATGCTAAGTTCACGAACTATTCCTTCGACGTGCGTGAGTTTCTACGACTGGTAAAGAAATGCGCTGATCACGTACGTAAACAAAAGGCCTTCAACGACCTCCTCGCGTTATCCGGTCTACGACAAACACACGAAGAGTTGTGAGGTAGCTTCGTTGACATAATTTTTGTTTCCTAACTTGTGATAATAATCTCTAATTGTTTTACATTTTTACTCATTCCAGTTAGGTTAAATTAGTTTTTAAGTGTACTTTTGTTACTTATTTTTGACTTTTGTTGAAACATAATGCAAGTATTACGTGTGCAATGACAGAACAAACAAAAGCTCCCAGCGAGATATATTTGTAGTTAGTTCTCTGGGACGTAACAAGATGTCGCTTTGTAAAGATAAGTATTGTAAAATACGTCCAATTTTTTTACATTATTAATAATGGATAATGATTTTAATTAGTACATTCAATATGTAGGTTTTTCCTGGAAGTGTACATCAAATGGATCAGAAGCATGGGGAACTTCATTTCAAATCTTTTTACCCCAATCTATATTGTAATTCTATAGTGCCAGTTCAAAAAAAAAAAAAACTGAAATTGCTCGTACTTTTGAGGAAATGACTATTTCTACTCCTTTCAATTCGATCCAAACTTCCAAGGACACCCTGTACCTCGTGCAGTACGTACAGGTTGTTTTCATAACATGGTATGAAATTGTTGTTACATGTTCATTCTATGTAAAGTTCATGTATATTTTTGTGATAAGTATTATGTTTATTTGAAATTTATAAGTTATAGTACAACATTTTCACGCTTGAGTTCAAATTTACAGGTATTAGACGAGAGAACAATCCAAAACAGACAAACTATGACATTAAGTTGTTAATTTTTTTAAAGAATAAGTTAGTGTGCGTTTGAGACGAATGCATAAGTACAATACATTTTGAAGTAAAAGCTCATATATCATAGCTATACCAACTAAGTAAAAAGGGGAGTAGAGGGTGTAAATGGAACACTCCCGAAAAACACCAACAGGTGATGGTAAAAAATAAGTTTTAATTTTAATAAAAGTAAGGAATTAAATGTTTATTTTATGTAATAATAGTTTTAATAAACTGCTCAAGGCTGATGTTGCATGAATAAGACAAAACAAAAACCATTAAAATTATAAAAATAATTTGTTTTTGTCAGCGTTTCATTTACACTGTATTTATTTTGTTAAGTCTTATGGAAGAGTTTTGGATTGGTTATTATAATGGTATATTCGAAGCAGCTGGGTACAATGTGATTTGTAAGACAAATCATAACTAGACAATATAAAAATAGAGAATTGTCTTCTGGTGGGACATTGATGTAAAAAGTATTAAAGTGAAAAGATTTAGAATACACATAATTATTATTAATTTTTGTACATACAAGAGTTAATAAAATAGTGCTAGTGATATGAAAGGTGATGAAAGAGTAAAACTTATAACAGAAAAGTATGAGTTAAGTACATTACTTAAGAAGTTATAAAAAGAGGATGAATAAAAGGAAAAATTTTGCAAAAACATTATCCAAGAATTTTCGACCTAATGTGAAAGTGTCAGTAGATACAATTTGAGGCGAAAAAAAGTTGATAACGAAATTATGCTAAGTACACAGAAGCCGTTATAATGAAAGGGTGACATGAAGAAAATCCAAATTGAAATTGTCTTAATTGGTTAACGTGTTTCCCTTCAAGATAAGCATGACGATAGGATTTGTTAAGGAATCTCATACAGGATCTAATTAAAACTAATAAAATTGTATCAGTTCCGAACAAAAACATTCGAATTATAGTTAATAGCTTCAATATATTTCCAAACAAAGTCAAAATCGGTTTCAAAGAATTCGTTTTCGATCATCACATACTACATAGTCATTAGCAAAGGTCTGCATGAACTCACACATAATAATCCTTGAAAAATTACAATGAATGTTGTTGATATAATCTGGTTAATTTATTATTTGGTGAAGGCACCGCTAGTTTAATTGTAACAGCGCGCCTCGAACGTTAAGTTTCATAATTACAGTTTGCGATATTCAGATAAATGTTCACAACATCGGCAGAGAGCCCGTGACCACTTGTTTACATGTACCTACGTACGGTAACACTTCTCGTCGAGACCGAGACCTTCTTAAATGTCATTATTGCTGTACATTTATTTCTTTGTGATTCAATATTTTATTTATTTGTTAATAATGTTTTTAAATCAATTATTGTTCTATTTACCGATCTATTTTAAGAAGTCATGATTGATGGTTTTTATGAGATTATTATTATGTGTAAGTACCTAAATCATATTCATTATTGAGTGCAATTTCAACTTAAGTTTAATTTTAAGTTTCGTTTAATGTTGGTAGTTATTGTATTAAGAATAAATAGTGCAAAACTGGTACAATAATCAGATTTCATTTTTTTACAGAGTATTTTAATATTTGATGTAGAGTTGTATAAATTCTTCTTTAACTACCTTATTTTATGGTTTTTTTATACATTGTCATGCCGTCGGCACAGTCTAATCAATATTCATAGAATATTAAATATTATTTCTTTATACCGGTTTATCCACTAATCTCTTTGTAAAAGTTTACGTAATGAAATGAGATGTAATGAAATGGATCGACATTATTGTTTAGTATTGAAACGGATCCCTAAAATGAAAAGAGGTCGAATGAGAGAGCATTGAATCGTAAAACAATCGCATAATATGGAGGCAATATTTACAGAGGGAAATTAATGAACGATGCCCTCGCGCGCCCTCGGGCCTTACGTTCATAACTTTTTGGCGTAACCAGATCGTATCTCTAAATAAAAATCAAGAAGTTAATTGAATAAAATAAGTTTTTAAATAAATATATTACTCCCGATGGGAGTTGTATTAGTTATATTTTATTTAGAATTAACATGTCTGTGATCTGTAGTGCATATAGAGTGAGGCATTTTATGTTTAATGAATTATCAGTAAAAATAAAGTTAAGAAATTTACATCCTACGTTTGAGTTTTCTCTAGATTACAGAATAGTTAGACATTATCATCGATTGTACAGCCACTTCGAGAGCCGTGCAGCGTTTAGTAAATATAAAAATACTTATATATTTAATAGGTACCTGCGTACCTAATATTTTTAATGCCTAATTAACGTAAGTGTGTAACTAATAGGTCTGTACCCATTATGATCATTGATCATCACCAATCAATGTTAAATCTCACGTTAAATACTACCTTCGTTGCTAATACGTACTTACAATTATTGATTCATGTCATATCAGTAATGTCTTTCCTTAGGAACTAAAATTACTTAAGATCTAATGTTTTGTACCTTTGTTTTTAATAAAAGATTTTTCAAAGTACTTGTTCTTATTGACTTACGTTAATAATGTTTGAATACAACATTTCAAGAGAATAATAAATGGAGGGCGTACATGGATATTAGAAATATTAGGGCAGGGTGCAGGCGCAGTGTAGGCGCAGCGCAGGCCGCGGGCTCGCAGGCGGCGCGGCGCGGCAGTGGCGGAGTGCCGGGTGGTCGGCGATGCGACGACGCTGATTCATGTCGCTGATAGCTATCGCAGGCGCCGGCGCCCAGTGCTATTTTCTAAATTTATCACCATTCGTATTCGCCTACCACGCGTACCATAGTTTTGAATAAAGGCATCTATAATTCTAGTCGAAGAAAAGATCTAAGTTTGATCTCGACCTGGATCTGATTTATAGACTAATAATATTATTGAATAAAATACACCAGAAATTACTCTGAAAACGAGTTAAAATGATGGAAATGTAAAAACCCTTGTGTTTTTTTTATAGCATAAGTCAATAAACAAGCAGACGGATCACCTGATGGTAAGCAATCGGCGCCGCCCATGGACACTCGAAACACCAAGGCGTTACAAGTGCGTTACCGGCCTTTTGGGAATTGGGAATTTGAGGATGTGAAGGATTCGGGGATTCGGGAGACGGGGACTAGGGAGGGGGTTAATTGGGCCTCCGGCAACCTCACTCATACGACGAAACACAACGCAAGCGTTGTTTCACGTCGGTTTTCTGTGAGTATGGTATGAGTGGTATCACTCCGGTCGAGCCGGCCCATTCGTGCCGAAGCATGGCTCTCCCACACTTTGTTAAAACTTCATTGTGTATTACAGTAATTTATTTACAACAGTTTAGATATATTATATTAGATATATGCTCCAAAAATCCTCTAAATATTGGAGAAAGTCGACTGATATATTTGACTGATGGCAAAGTTAAGAGTCCCTTAAATATCTAAACGATGAACGATCTCTGTATGTTCATTCATGTCTTTATTTGGTAGGTTAGGGACTGATTATTAAGACTATGTAGTCCGAAATCAAACTCAATTTAGGCATAGGTATGCCATAGCTCCCATTTAGATTAGAATTATGGTAGTCAAAGATTACACCTTACAATTTACAATTCCACAGTAACAAGTCACTAGTCAAATGCACATTTATTCTTTTCTTGAGGCGAAGGTATAGAAGACTGAACTTATGCCCATGACCCTATGGTCACCTATGTCTTAGGCACCTATGTGCCTAATGCATCTCCAATAGATCCAATAGATAATAAATGAGGTAGGTACATACCTCCACCTTCCGAAGTCATCTTAAAGCTTAAGTAACAACGATTCCACCAACAAGCCCTGTTACAGTCAATTGCTGGTGTTACATCATTCGAAAGCAATTTTTACAATCATAACAAAATGTTTCATCATTTGTATCTGTAACAGTAGGACCTACCTACTGTTACCCAAACAAACACCTATGTTCAGCAGTGGATGTCTTGATGTCTTGTGGCTGATATGACGATGATGACCAAAACACAAAATAAAAATAAAATAAAAGTCCAATATCCTCGTATCCATCTACTATTGTTTACTATCAACTATGTCAAGTGGATTAACGGCACCTGAGAACACCAAGTGTACCTACCCACAAGAAAAAGAATTAATCTTGAGCGTACAAGCAGTTATTTATATAATAGCAAGGCGAATTAAGGCAACAAGTCTCAGATTAACAATGGCAACAAACAAACGGAAGGTAACAGAACGAAGACAAACATTCGTGGCTCTTTCAAAAGCACACAATAGTCGTCATCAATTACAGGCA